GATTACTGTTCCATTATGTGGTGTTTTGTTATTGATATGGTTAAATCGAATTGACACTAGTGTGATTTTCTTTACCTTTCGATTCTCATAAACTGGTGCATGGCCTTTTAAATGGATCTTGTAGTCTACGTGTGAAAAAGAATTCCCTGAATCATCATTTCTTGGCATAAGATAGAAATCTCCCTGAACCAATAGTCATTTCTTGATCTTCTGTCAGGATAGAGCTGCCTGTATATTTTTTGACTTCTCATCAGCTATTTCGCAAACTAGTTTCATTGATCATCTAGAAAATCTACTCATTACTATTGGCTAAGCTTCTGCATGTTTGACCTTTTGGACGAGTCTGTTTGTGGTTGATGTGATTATTTGTAAGCTAGGCTTTTGCTGAAATCATTAGTTCCATTTTCAAGTTAATTACAGTGCTTCCCAGTGCAGATTTTCATCTTGGTTCTCAGTCCTCTTTCCCTTATCGCTCTAAGTTAACGAATTTCCTCTGGTGTATTGCAGTAGAGGCTATAAAAGCGGGGTGAATTGATGTTTCTGGTCGAGAATCATCAATGGATCGCACCATATCGATAAAGGATTTGATTGCTGTTGTTGAAAGGGAGTTCCAAATGTTGAAATCAACCCTTCTGTATCGCTTGAATGAAAAAATATGAACATAAGGATGCCTTTTAAGTCGGTGAAAGTGTGGAGTTCCAAATGTTGAAATTACCCCTTCTGTATCACTTGTATGAAAAACGATGAACATAACGATGCCTTTTAAGTCAGTGAAAGTGTGCTGAGTTAGTAGGTCAAGTGGAAGCAAAGGGACTTGATTGAGATGAACAACTATCATTAACATTTCTATTTGGTTTAGATTAAATGATTAATCGACGAATAGTAGGATTCAGACTTTCAGGAAACTGCATTCCACCATCAGCTGCGTCTGCATCTTCTGCCTCATTCTGATATTTGCATAATCTGATGAATGAAGAGACATTTCCTTTCTGTTGTGATGAATTCAGTTGCATTTTCTTGCGGAAAACTTGCTGCGTTTTGTTGTTGGGTGAGATATGGAGTCTTGTGATCCAGTCTCTTCATCCATTATCTAGGGTCTAGATTTTTCAGACCAAGTATTGATTTAGTGTGATTTTAGCTATTGTAATAGACTTCCAGTTATTTTTAGACATGTACACTTGCTGGTATCTTACAGAATTGAATGTGAAATTTGCACAGTAAATACAACCAATTTCCTTTGATTTCAAACAGAGGTTGAGCTCCACTGATCTCTGTGTGCTCCTTTCTTATTTCGAAGAAAAGAATTAGGGAAAAGGATATGTTTAATTCTGAACTAAATATATGTGATTATATACAAATCTTTTCTATTTATAGATACATAGGTCTGTTATTTACACTAAGATGACTACATTACAAATCTAACTAATCACCGTCTAAACAAATCTACACAATGTTATAATCACTGCTTGGTGACTCTTCCCTATTTCAATACCATTTCTATTACAGCTAATGTGTAAAGAAAGGTCCCTATAGTTTCCAGAGGTAGCATAGAAGGATCAGTCTTGAAGCAACACGTGTGCACGTGTACCATTGTTCTGGTGCACCTGTTGCTGATGATTTCCTGGTGTGGAATACCGTTTTAGATCATGCCTGCAAGTGTAGTAGAGATCATATACGGGGTGAAACTCAAATCCAATTACCAAAAAGATTACATATTGAGTAAAAGAATGTTCTGATTAGTAGAGTTGTTTCATAGTTCATAAAAATCCTGGGTGAAGAAACACCAAAAGCATACAAGACTGACCCATTGAATTAGCCACATATTACACAGTGCCAAGCTTGAGAAGTTAAGTTCTCCCTTCAAGATCTTGCTCCAATTAGTATTACTACCGTTCTAGGATGAAAAGAATTAACATTGTACACTTCGAAGATGACTAAAGAGCATACCTTGTTTTCTGAAGTCATCCATACACCGTTTCTCAAAACCTTGAGCGATCTTACCCTGTACAGGATTCGAAAGGGCAGACCCGTTAGATATGGGCAGCCATTAACAAGAAGTTCCATCAGGTTTTACATCACTGAGATTTCATGAATGTTTCTCTAATCATCTTCACTAGGGTCTTCCCATGTTTCCCACTCTTGTAGATGTTAGATTCGTAATGTCTTCAAACTAGAAAATGCTACAATTCCCGTATCATATCCTGTAAGGTCTATTTGTTTCTTCCCCTTGTCCATTTTCATATTAGGCAGACCAAAGAATTCCAGACCTAAATGCCTTAATTTCTAAAGGTCATACAGCCAAAGAAATTCAAGTGATGTCAATTTCCACAATTCAGGCAAGAAGAAGAGTTTTAGAGCTGATTATGGTCAACCTTCTTAAGAAAATGTATCTTGCGTAGTTAAACTTCAAAAAAGAAAAATGAAGAATCCCCATTGCGCTTCCACGAGTCACTTGCTCTCAGCATCATAAATATCAGTTTTGGATGTACATTGATAACCATGCACTGTGTATCAGTTACAGGGAACTTCCAACTCATGATAGCATTGACTATGATGGCATTGGTAGCATATTCCTTACCATAAAACACATATTGGGCCTGTGAGAACAAAAGAACAATACACCGCAATATCTATTGAATAAAATGAGCATAACTTGGGACGGATGAAACATGGTTCGTTGCAGCTGAATCAATTTAATAGAACTATGTTTAAGTACTAAATGCAATTAGTTGACTTCAACTTGAGTACCTTATTGAGACAGAAAAAAAAAACTGAAGATCTTTTAGGTAGTTTCAAATGGATTTCCACGAAAATCAACAAACTAAATCATGGTTTCCATCAAGTCATCATTGCTAAGCACAGAAAAAAGAAAGCCAAAAAAAAAAAGGAAGTCCTCGCAACTATGGCCAGCAACTAACATTCAAACTACAAAATTTTCTTACCATTCATAATTATAATAGAAGGCGCTCTTGTTAGAAGCTAAAAGAATTCCTGAAGTGATTATTTCTATGTGTACAAACCCAATTATCCTATTAAAAATTCAAGTGAAAACGTAAAAATATCTCATTGAGAAAAACATTGTACTACTAGTAAAACGTTTACACGAAAACTAGTGTGTACCCAATGTCTAGACATCTGTTGGCTGAGAAGGTACTAAAAGTATCTTACTTATATACGAAAAGCTGGTTTAATACTTAGGAGTCGACTGCAATTGTTCATTAGTTGGACAAATATGCATTCATACTCACATAGAGCTTATTAAATCCGAAAGTTTGTTAAATCCTCCATAAAGGACGCTACTGTCATCAAATTGATGAATTAGCACGAGGCCCAAACGATTCATCCTAAGTTAATACCTCAAGAACTCTAGAAAAAGAGGAGATTACACTAATCGAATCCACATTGAAATCAAAATTCCAAATGACTTCAAAAACAAACTTTTCTTTATCAGAGCAACCCAAAAACTTGATATTAATTAGAATGACAAGGGGAAGAAAAAAACTAGGGAAAAACTTGCCCAAAATTTCTTCAGTATAATTAACAATTCAGTGATTCCAACAAAATATAGATTTCATATGCAAGACATCATCTAAGAAGATTAAAAGAGGAAAAAATTCGAAAATTAGTGAAGACCTCGGAATCAACTTTTGTGGAAGGTCTTGACAAAGTCAAGGACTCTTGCGATGACTTTTTCTTTCGCCATTTCATCCTCTCAATTAACAGTTGTTGGAGGTGCAATTTCGCATTGGGCCGACACCCATTCATGGGTCCGATAAATATTTCTTTATGGCTTATTGGGCCGGCTAAAAGCCCTAACAATGGCCCAAGCCCATCATTGAAATATTTATTCTCTATCTATATATACCCCATTTTTGGTGGTGAAGAGTAAGCTCATTTCACTACTCCCTTCTTGGCTCACATTTTATACATTCACTCTTGACACTGACTTGCTCGTCGGAGTGCTAACCCTTGTTTTGCAGGTCTCAGTTCCATAGACATCGTTGACCCTCATCCAAACGGATTTCACCCTCAACAAATGGCGCCGTCTGTGGGAACGTCGTGTTCCTGGTTGAAGGTGAATCCAAAGTCTCTGCGTCTATAGATCAGGACCAAAAAAGGGTTTTGAGCTGCCAACGTGGGTTTGCAAATTTCACGATTAACAATCTGGTTGTTTGGGAGTTTTGAGCTGCGCCTTCACGATTGCAATCTGGTTTTCCTTTTCTTCGTTTGGCTCCAAAATCCACTTCAATGATCCAAGTTTCCGAAAATCAAGCATGGATCTCATCTAAGTTGTGTGAACGACCCATGGTTTCAAGTAAAGCCCTCATTGGCAAAAAGGTTTTCGTCATCACAAACCTTGTACGGACGGAGCAAACGTCGGCGAGTGCAGAGCTAAAGTAGGGCTGATAAAACAAAACGCCGGCAACGAATCTACTCCGGCGGTTTCCATTCTTGGCCATGCAACTGACGTCCGCATCTCCTCTCATCCCCGGCTTCGTCGAGAAAGGGAGAAGAGGAGTCGTCCTTTGGTTGCCGTGGTCATCGCCTAACTGCAGCCGGCGTCTTGACTCCAACTTCAGTCTTCGATTTCGGCGTCGTCGTGGCAGTAACGGACAGTGGCAGCGCCTTCCTCTCCCTCGTCGGATTCCAAAGCAGCGGCGTCCGACCTCACGTTCGTCCATGGCAGCCGCGGCTCAATCCGGGGTCAGTCATGAAGCAAGATTGAAGTCGGAAGTGGCCTGGAACTTTAACCGTCGGCCGAAGCTTGGTCTCAAAGCAACACTGGCCTCAAAAGTGGCGGCCTCGAAAACGAGTCGCATCCGATTTCCGTCCCCGATGTTGGGCAGCAGCAGTCTTCGTCTTCGTCTTCATCTTCGTCCTCGTCTTCATCTTCGCCTCCCATGATCCCCCCTTCTTACTTAATTGTCGAGTCACCTTCGTTAACTTGTCCCTGGAAGGTCCAGTGTTGAAAGCGGCGGCGTCGGCAACAAGCTCCCCCAATGTTGGAAGCATCAGCAGCCGCCTTCAAGATCATCTGTCCTCTTTCTCGACCCAACCGGAAGCTTCATCCACTGAAACGGCAGCCGCAGTTCAAAGCCATCGCCAGCAGCCGCGGTTCAAAGCCAGTAGGGTTCGGCCCACCGTCCGCGGCAACAGGAGCTTCACCAATGGTAGAAGCTAGACCAACGAGTTCGGGTTCGGGTCTTGGCACGGCCTCATCAACGTCGACATCATCAGCCGAAGACGGCCGGCTTCACCTTCGGACAGATTTGTCATCGACATCCGTGAAGGAATCCGACGCCACCAGCTTCGTCCGTAAGCCTCCATCCGGAATGGCACCCGAAGACCGACCCCGAAGGCCATGGCGTCGACAATAAAGGATTCCGGCGTCGGTCTTCGTCCAGGCTCGAAGCTCCAGGTCGGGGAAGACGAGCTGGACGTCGGGCAGGAAACGTGGGGCAGAATTGCAGAAGATTCAATATTTTGCAATTAGGTCCCTGCTATTTCAAAAATTTACAAATCGATCTCAAAAGTTCAAAAGTTACCAAATCGACCCTAAAGTTTGAAAACGGGGCAATCAGACCCCTGACGAGGATTTTGGGGTCCATCCGGGAACTTTACAAGCCAATTGCAAGGATCTCGTGCATAATTGGGAGCTCTCCGAGACTATAGCCCCTCGCCACAACCAAGATAAGTGTTCTTAACCACTTTATCACCATTCGAGGGTCCATTTTCTTAAATAATTTTATTTGGGGGGAGGAGTTGGATATGTGTTGGATATGTGGTTATACATATTTCCTCCTTGCTACTTGATTATAGATTCAATCAAATGCTTAAAGCGGCATAGCCAATATAAATACACCATTATGGCATGACATATAGAGAATAGAGCTATCGTAGTTCATACACTCTTTGTGCTTTCGAATGTAGTTCGTACTTGACTATGTGCTATGTGCCCCGTTACCCTCAGAAACATGAGGAAAAGGAAATAAAACTATTTAAGAAAATATATACTTGTTCTTGGGTAATATATCTACGATTGGTGGTTGGAAAAGGTGGGTTGTTTTTTGAAAATTGGTCCGAAGATGATCTACCCTTCACTTTGAAAAACCATTTTGAAAAGTAGATATAATATCCTTTCCAAAGTTTTGAGTTATTGAACGGGTGACACGTCTTTCATCTTGAACACTCGCATTTGTGTTGTAAACAAAGATGTAATCCTTCTCTCGAAACTTTGTTAACAAGTGTACGGGGTTAGTATATAACATACTCTTAATTGCCTTTGTGTGTACTAAGAACAAAAGAACAACCCCTTTGGAAAATCTGGACGCCATGCAGGGCTTCACAAATCCGAGGACGTCCACATGTCCGAGGATGCCATCTCCGTCCGTGGATGCCTACATGTCCGAAGATGAAGGCTCATCAGTCCGAGGACGAAGCTCGTCTCGATCCCCGTGGTCGACGGCACTGTACGGCCTCCGCGGTCTACGGCACTCCTACGGCCCCCGCGGTCTTGGAGCTTTTATAAGCCCGTCTCGATCCCTGTGGTCGACGGCACTGTACGGCCTCCGCGGCCTACGGCATTCCTACGGCCTCCGCGGTCTTGGAGCTTTTATAAGCCCGTCTCGATCCCCGTGGTCGACGGCACTGTACAGCCTCCGCGGCCTACGGCATTCCTACGGCCTCCGCGGTCTGGGAGCTCTTATAAGCCCGTCTCGATCCCCGTGGTCGACAGCACTATACGACCTCCGCGGCCTACGGCATTCCTACGGCCTCCGCGGTCTGGGAGTTTTTATAAGCCCGTCTTGATCCCCGTGGTCGACGGTACTGTATGACCTCCGCGGCCTACGGCACTCCTATAGCCTCCACAGGCCTTGATGCGTTGGAACCTGTATTGCCTTCCAGAAGGCACAAGTTCAAAGGCAGACGCCTTCGACCTCCTGGGCACGAAGGTCCGATCCCGCCACACTTAATCAGGTACATGACATCTTTCTAAGATCTTTTGTGAACGTACCATGTTTCCTGTCTATCTTGAAGATCTAGCATACATGTGAATTGTGCCAACTCAAATATTATAATGATATAACCCATCTAGCCCCAGCCGCTGATGGGCACTAATTACTCCTTGAAACCGTGTCAGTAAGCTTATGGGTACGAAACTCATATGGTCTTGATTTGCCTTAGGGTTAGAAGCTCACATGGCATTGATCAACCTTTGAGTTTCACACTCGTATGGGTTTGACTTGCCTTCGAGTTGAGCACTTACACGGTGTCGATTAGACTTGGAGTTATACGCTTCTACAGTTTAGATCCACCTTTGAGACAACAGCCCCTTACGGCATCGGCCATCTTTTGAAGTTCTATGCCCAATAAGCTTTCGTTCGCTTGTGGGTTACTTACACCCGTAGTCTCGATCAGCCCTAGACTCGGCCTAACTTCGTCCGTCAAATCCTACTGCTTCCTTCCCAAGTAGGGGGGGAGGGCTCCTAAGGTGGACGATGTTGCTTTTTATCGTAACCTACCCAGGCGACAAGCACCAAGGCTGGGGTGAGGGGCAAAGAAGTTTAAATAACACCTTTACTTCAAAACCCTCTCAAACTTCTTCCATTATCATCACAAAAATGATAAAGTTTCATGTGTTCACGTTCATTCAATCGAATGGTAACGGAATGAACATTAGAAAACTAACACTGACTCGACTAGTCTTCGAAAAACTCACACGGTGTCGGTCAACCTTTGAGCTCTATAATCATACGATCCTAACTAGGCTTCGAATTATACGCTCTTATAATTTTGACCACCCTGAGTTAAAAACCTTCACGGCCTCAATCAAGCCTCTTTATCTCATACTCTCTCGACTCTAGCTCTATCTTGAGAAAGGTACACGCACGTACTTGATCAGCCTAGGGGTCGTACGAACTCTGTATTGGCTAAACACGGCCAAGGGACATTAATCACCTACGTAACTCCAATCGAGTAATTAGTCAACTATACTCAAACACGTGTCTTATTTATGGAAGCAAGCTTATCCCAACAAGTACGCCGTCGACCCTGGTGGCCGATGGTGCTCTTGTACTCGAATAATTAGTGCACCCCTTTACTTGAGTGACCTTCATATTACCAGGCGGTGGCAATACCTTTCATCCTTTCAACTCTCGCCCCCGAGAGAGAAAGCAATTCTTATTAAGGTATCATTCGGGTCGAATCATAATCCCCGATGATGCATTGTTGACTTCACACGAATTTAACGATAGTCTTCGATGGTGCTATTCGGACAATACTTTGTTATGTTCCGTCGCCATCTTTCTTATCAAAGCATGACTTCTTCTCAAGAGTTTTTTTTTATATATATATATATATATATACTAGTGATGTCTGGTCGTGCAATGCGCGACCCTGGCCCAGTCTATCTGTAGATCTTAGAAATGTTTATATTTGAAAAAAAATAAAATTTCGTATTTGGAGCGATATATTTTAGAAATATTTGAAGGATTTAGAAATGTTTTATACCTGTGATCATAGAAATATTTGTACTTCGCAAAAAAAAAAATTGTATTTCGCCATGTATGTTTTAGAAATGTTTTATAAGTGTTACTTATTAAATATAAATAGCCTTAATCGAATATATGTGTTGAAGTAAATGTTAGATAAAATATAAAAGTATTCTAATAAATTTAAATATTAGTAAGATGATTTATTGATGTTCTCCATTGGTCGTGCCAAATCAATACTTAATTTTGGAGATTTTTAATAGATTTGTAATAAGCTTCATCCGAAGGGTATACGCTTAAAACAAAATTGACACTTTGTAACAAAAAACCTAATTGATCAATTCAATTCAAAAAACCACTCTAGTTGAATGAAACATAAAAAAAAAAAAAAAACATGTTACGTAAAGTGCAAAGGGAGATTTAGTAATTTTGTTATGGTTAGACAAAAGGGCAATTTAGTACTTTCTACATGCCACGTGGCAATCATATGAGGTGTTTGAAAGGGAGGTTTTTGTTTCTAATATAGTAGGATATATATATAATATACTCGGCTTCGACGACCAATATCGCGCTAATCCTCCTGGCTCAGCCCATCATGACGCAGGCCAATGTGGGGGTCTGTTTATTGACTCGTCTAAAGTTTAGGATAAGACTCCTCCTGTTTACCTACGCTTGTGAATATTTTTCTATCTTCGAAGATGAAAGGGGCAACCTGTTTGCCCCACCTCCTTCGAGTACAAGCGTGCACTAATTATTCGTCTCAACAACATCCCTAGGCTTACTACAGGCCGCTGAGATTTATGTCTTCTCAACGACGTCCCTTGGTCCGTCCGATCGCTTACACACTTGTCCAAGAGTGCTAGCATAAGGATTACTCCTCTTCGCTTGTCTGTTGATTATCGCGAGTGTCCCTTTCCGAAAACATCATACGGGGGCAACTTCTTAGCTCTAATCACCTCTCCTGACGGTTGAACCTACCTACCAACTATTGACATTCCGATGATCATTGTACGCCTCTTCACTTACCGTCGGATTTCACATCTTGCTCACGGAACGTCCGTGACACCTTCGGCCTTTATTGAAGCCATCACTGTTGGTTTTCGTCACTTGACGCCTTAACCAGCGTCAACTTATTCTGAAGTAAACTTTTGACTCGTCATTGGCCGTCTTCGGCTGATGATAACCTAATTCAGTCCAGTGGACCACTATAATCCACTTTTCATTGTCTCTCCCTATATAATCGAAGCTTCAGACCTCTTTTGTGTCTGCAGGGACCACAGATGCCCTTACTATGTTATCCGACGTATCAGACAATGTCGGACACCAAACTCCGGCTCCTAAGCAATTAAGTAATTCGATGATGATTTCCCTCGGTCTACCTTGGGCCGACACGGGTTGTAATGGACTTACGTTGTGTCCATAGAAACCTTTTGGCCCTCCTTGGACCATCATTATTAGCTTTGGCTACTCGGCTAATTCATTAGCCTTGGTCTATCTCCAGTGAGCTCTTAGCTCCTCGGACGTTCATCCTCGTCTATTGACATTCAGATAATGATTCTTCTACCGAGTCTGTCTGCGCTGTGTCTTGGGTTCAGACACAAGGCTGGGTTCACCTGGGATCGAACTTTACCTTACATACCCGCTATTGACCGATCACGCGGCAGTTACAAATTTCTTTCAATCATGCCCCAACGAGGTCTAACCGTGTTGTTGTTCCAACCTATCACGTGCCGTCACAAGCTTGGACGTCACCTCTCCGAGAAGAATTCTTTGTCACCTTCCTTCTTTCGTGACCTCTTTGTTGGATCGGGAATAAAATCCTCAAACGATTTGCGCCCGCACAAGCGGCACACTCGGTTTCAGTTATCTCTGGGCATGTTCGGTAA